CTACCCTGCTCCAGGACGCCTCAATGTGAAGAATGAGGAGTTAGATGCCATGATGAAGGAAGCCAGTGGTCCCATCAACTTCACTGTCTTCCTGACCATGTTTGGGGAGAAGCTCAAAGGTGAATGAAGTTGTTCTGGGTCCAACTTCCCAGCTGCCACTTCCCAGACTATTCAGGGACAGACCCTTCAGGGACCCTTCAGCTTTATGTACCCTCTGACCCCCAGGTGCCGACCCTGAGGACGTAATCACTGGAGCCTTCAAGGTCTTAGACCCTGAAGGGAAGGGCACCATCAAGAAGCAGTTGTAAGTGACTCCCTCCAACTGCTCACCCACAGAAAGCCTCCTTAAATTCCTACCAAGGGTTAGGCACTGCCAGGGATAAGGGAGAAATTAAGACTGTGGAAATGGGTGATAGGATCACATTTTCACAACACATATGGGGGAAAGGGTAAAAGCGATGGGGAGGCCAGAGTGCTTGCGAGACCAATGGAGGGATCTAGAGTGATCCCGGTTTTCAAGGAGAGACTGGGAATGGTAACAAGGATGAGGTGGGAGGGAGTGGAAAGGACTCAAGAAACCCAATCTCAATTCCCCGCATGTCACCTCTCTGCAGCTTGGAGGAGCTGCTTACCACACAGTGTGACCGCTTCTCCCAGGAAGAGGTGAGTGGGGGAGGGGCCTGGGAGGAGTGGAGGGATGGGGAGGCGATAGTAAAGAACCGGTAAGAGTTGCAATCTTGCAATCTTTCCCCAGATCAAGAATATGTGGGCGGCTTTCCCTCCCGATGTGGGCGGCAATGTAGACTACAAGAACATTTGCTACGTCATCACGCATGGTGACGCCAAGGACCAGGAGTAGGAGACCCTTTTTAGGCCTCCGCTGACCAACGCCTTCCTGTCAGTCCGACCTCCACCCGACTCCTAATAAAATTGAACTGGTCTTTGTTTCTTAGGGGCGGTACCTTCAGTGTGTTTGTGTGAGGGATTCAGGTGGGAGCCTGGGCTGAAACACTGCCTGGCACAAAGCGAGTGCCCAATAAATTAATGAATAGTGCCCTGAAGGCCTGGGTGGGGCCGCTCCACCCGCTACTCCCGCCGCTTCTTCCCGCTGGGAAAGAAAAGACTCGCGTGGCTTAACGGACTTAGTATTCTTTTTACGATCTTTATAAAGCCTTAAGAAGGTGCCGTTATTTTACTGTTAAAATGAAGTACAACATACTAACTAGTTCAGAGGGAAAACTTAATTTTTATTGAAGACACAGCTCGTGGAAAGAGGGGCCGGGATGGGGTGGTCAGGGACTGGGCTGCGAGCGAGGGCTGGAAGCTTGGGCTCAGGAAGTGGCGGAGGGTGGGGTGGGGTGGAACTAAAGGCGGGGCTACAACTCTGGGATTAGAAGAACCTGTTCTCCCGAGAACCCAGGGCAAGGGCTTTCTGGGCTGGGGCTCCCGGATTGGACAAGAGACAGACAGAAGGCGGAGCCGAGGTAAAGCAGAGCCCGGGCTGGGGCCTCAGAGAGTGTCCGACTGCTCGCCCTGAACCTGGCTCTGTTGCATCTGGGCCTGCATCTTCTCCAGCATCTCTTGCATGCGGCGCAGCTGTGCGGGGCAAGATTGCAGGTGATGGGACCCGACGACGCCAGAGAGGAACTGCAAAGAGGACTGCGGGCCTTAGATGGTGGGGGAGAGAGGTGCTTGCTCACCTCTTCGTCCTTCTCGCGGATCAACTTCTCCGTGTCGGCCAGAGGCAGCATGGGCAGCGGGATCTCCGTGGCACTCTGGCGGGAAAGCTTGCTAGGGGGTGGGGAAAAGGGACAAGAATCAAGAGCGGGACCCGTGGTGGTGTAGGTTACGACCGCGAGGCTGGGCCTGGGACGCAGTTGGGCTCTAGGGAGGCGGAGCCATATCCTTGAGGTTAGCGCGGTAAGCAGTAGGTGGGGAAAGACTAGGAGAGAGGTCTGGATGATGAAGGCGGATGGTAATGACCCGGCCTTGGAAGCACCTAGAAGTCAGCTCCGGCTCTCACCTACGGCTGGCTCGATCACGTGCCCCAGGCCGAGCCAGGCTCTGTAGGCAGCGGGCCCGGTAGCCTTCGTAGAGCAGATCGTGCGTCACCTCCTTCAGGTCCTGCAGGTGTGTCTGCACTAGCATCCGTCGCAGGTTCAGGAAATCACAGTGATGTGGATTCTCCACTGCAGAGTGTGGGGGGACGGGGGCCGCGGACTGGCATGCGTCAGGGGGCTTTCAGTCCAGCCCCATCTGCTAGGTCGGGTCGGCCTGCAATCCTGCGGCCGCTCTAGGGAAGGGTCCGCGGTTTGCAGCTCAAGGACCCCTCTTTGCCTCCTAGGCCCTCCAAGACCAGAGCTCACCCCAACTTCACATTGTTGGATGCGGTTGATTTGGAGGTGGGATCCCTGCTGGCCTCAGAACACTTGCTCCGCCTTACTCACCCTCCACAGTACCCCAGGAGTAGCGACGTCCCCTCACGGGTCGGGTCCCGCCGTCCCTCACTACTTCGCATGAACCGACAACTGCGAAAGGAATGCTTTCCTAGAGGGCAGGAGTTAGGGATCACCGCTGGCCCCTCGTGGACAGAAACTTCTTTCTCAGCTTCCACCTCCACATCCGCTTCCCCTGCTTCTCTGCCCCTTCTTCCTTTGCCTCTGCACCTTCATTTCTGCATCCTGCCTCTTGAAGTCTTCATCCTCATCAGAGTCACAATCCGGGAACTGGTAGATGTTGATCTCCTCCTCCTTCAATTGGTCCCGGATCTTGGAGGAGACAAATGCAGAGATAGAGAGAATCACAGAGGCTGTGAGGAACAGATATTTCATGGTCAGAAACAGTCAGATACAGATACTGGGTGGTCAGAGACAGAGAGAAAGACATGAAAAACAGAGATGGTGAGAAATGGACCTACAGGATAACCAAAAGCAAAATCCCAGAGGCAATGAGAGACAGACATAGTTGAAAAACTGAAACAAAGACACCCTAACAGGGAAGTCAGAGGCCTGGAAAGATTGTAAGATGAGGCAGATATCAAAATACCAGGAGAAATACAAGCAGAACCAGCGGGAGAGGGCTCTGAAGACACTGGAGGGTGAGGGTCATCATGTCTCTGCCCCTGCCGACTGACAGTTCTCAGCCAGGCATCCAGCCCAGGGATTCCATTCTGAACCTCCGGAGACATGGCTCCTTCAGGCAACTTACTACTCACCTTCCTTAGAAAATTTCTCCCATAGTCTAGCCTTAAACAGGTTCCAAAAAGTCCACCCCAAGACCAAAGAAGTCAAAGCTGAGTTCAGGTTTGATCAACGCTTTTAGCTTCATGTGGGGCCAAAAATCATAAGTCACCACACATACCTTCTGCTTGAGGGCCTGAGTTTCCTTAGGCATCAAGGCATCTGCTTTGCCAATGACCGGGATGATGTTGACCTTCTCGTGCACTGCCCGGAGGAAGGCCACATCTAGGGGCCGGAGCCTGCACCCAGGGATTGATCAGGGCTTGGTCTCAGGGTACAGAGACACCCCCCAATCCCTCCCCAAATGCTCCAACCCCCAGGGTGGCTCCACCAGACCCCCGGCCAAAGGGCGAGATGAAGTAGAGGCAGCAGTGGACACGGGAATCCTGTATGTTCTTCCGGTTCAGACCACTCTCATCCCTAAGATACTGTTCAAATTGCTCCTCAATGAAGCGCACCACGGGCAGCCAGCTGGGGTGTGGGGAGAGGGGAGAGAGCATGTGGTCAGAGATGTTAGAGATCAAGGGCTATGTGGCAGGGAAGCGGGGAAGGCTAGCCAGGACTGTGGGAGTTGGAAATAGTTTCTTTGGCTCCAACCAAAGAAATTAGAGGACACTGGCAGAGGTGAGATGTGGGGAAGCACAGGCACTTTGGGCCACACGGCCATAAGAAACAGGCCTCGCCTTTGGCTCAGGGTGTGTGGGAGGCCAGGGCAGACCAGCCCTGTAACTGACCCCTCAGTCTCCACAGGGTAGCTATATTAGGAGGAAGCTTAGTTCTCGTCCCTTACCCCACTCACCAGTCTGAGCAATCCACTGAGTCCCCAAAGCCAGGTGTGTCCACCAGAGTCAGCTTCACCTTAATACCCCCCTCCTCGATCTCCACACCCCGGCGCTCAATGGTCAGCGTTTGTGTCAAGCGAGCTATAGGGTCGGGGAGACATCAGGGAACTAGGTAGGGCTCTGAGGTAAGATTAATTTCCTTTCTCAGTATCACAGTAGCCCCCACCTATTTTTTAGGAGAGGAAACTGAGTCTTAGAGAAGAGGGTAGCCTGGAGATATAGAAGGCGGGCAGAGTGCCTAGAGAAGATGGGGAGGGTCTTACCACTGGCCTCTGGCAGTTGTCGATCTTCATAGAGGTTGGTGAGAAACAGGCTGTTGATGAGGGTGGATTTCCCCAGGCCTGACTCTCCTGTGGACAAAATAGGCCCAACTGGTCAGGTGAGAAGACAGCCAGGGTCTCTTGAGGACCCACCACCAGTCCCCTCTCCAAAAACCCCCAAGACCTGCCACCATGAGTGTGAAGTCAAACCCCTTCTTGACGGATTTGCGGTGTAGCTGGTTGGGGAGAGCTGCGAAACCCACATACTCCTTGTCCTGTTGGTGGGGGGTGGACAATATGAGGCTGCTGGAAGCGGCGGGCAGGGCCTTCAGTATAACCTGATCCAAGGGCTAGGAGAAGTCAGTCTATATTGGATCGAACTGGGTGGGCCTGGCTACCCTGGGGCTTAGGGACTGGGTACAGAGATGCCTGGATTCCTGGGCATAAGGACTCACCATGGCCCCGCTAGCTGTTGCTGCACCTGTTCTCTCTCCCCACTTCCTCTGGTAAGGCAGGAAGTTGAGTGCAGCAAACAAAGGGGCGGGCTGTGTAGGAAGCTGAGATGTTCTAACTGGCCCAGGGAGGTGGGGGAAGCCAAGACCAGAAATACCTAGGGTCCTCACCTGGGTCCCTTTGCTTATCACTCCTATAGGAAGCTTCATCCCTCTGTTCTTTGCACACTTTTCTCCCAAGCCCCACTGTAGCCCCATCACTGGTGGGAGGTGGGGTGTAGGCAGAGAGGAAGGAAACAGGTTGGTCTCTCCAGCAAGCGAGATGAAGGCTTTGACAGGGCTTATTATTTTTTTAAAGATCCTAGGGCCTGAGTGGACCCAAAGCCCTAAGGGGCTTAGGGGTGGGAGAGGCCATCAATTTTCTTTGCCAGCTCATGCAATGGATTTTTTTTTTTTTAATGCAACGGATTCTTAAAAAGATTCCAGGTCTCTAGACAACACCACCAGAGAAACCTTCCTTCAGAATCTTAGCCAAGACATTCCCCTTCCCAGTGACCTCAGAATCAAATCAGAGTTGACCTGGCAGCCAAAGCCTTCCCCGTCTGGTCTCATCACCTCATTACTCATTTTCCCTTAGCGAGTGCCCACATCCTCGGCTCTGCCCATATTGAGGTTTTCCTTCTTTACCAGGCGAACTCCACCTCATCTTTAATTCAAAGGGCTTTTCCCCCTCTATTAAATCTTCCCCAACTACCTCAGGCAGAGTCATTTTCTCTCTTCTGGACTCCCTAGCACCTTTCACAGCCCCCTCCAATGCCCACATTTGCTTACCTGGCTGTCTCTTCTACTCCCAGCTGAGCTTTCTGAGGGCAGGGACCATGTCTTCCTAATTTTTATATCCTCAGTGTCTTTCGCAGGGCCTTACACAAAGAAGGGGCCAATAAATAACATACATGAAAGAATGAGTAAATGAAGTTAGTCAGGGCCGAAGGCTGGAAAACTGTAGAACATGTAAAAGTAAACTTGCTTTGAAGTCAGAAAGAGCTTCCACTTACTATGTGACCTTGGGCAAGTCATTTGGCCAATAGGAAAATGGCCTCCATTTTCCTATTGATAAAATGAAATCCATTTTCACTTTGTTATCAGGATTCCGAGTAGTTTCAGATGACATGGCTTTGGAGTCAATCAGTTATATATACAAACCGGCTTGAGCATTTACAAACTAAGTGGCCTCTCTGAGCCTTTAAAGCTCATCTCCTTACTATGGCTTATAAGGGACTGCTTGATCTTGATCCTGCCTACTGCTCCAGCCCCATTTTCTTTCCCCACTTCTTGTGGTTTTATTATTTCCCTTTTAGCTCATGTTATGGACTAAATTGTGTTCCCCCAAAATCCATGTGTTGGAGCCCTAACCCCCAATGTAACTATTTAGAATTTAAGGAAGTAATTAAAGTGCAATGAGGCCATAAGGGTGGCGCACTGATCTGATAGTTCTGGGGTCTTAAGAGACACCATCCATCTCTCTCTGCTCAGGCAGAGAGGAAAGGCACATGAGGTCACAGAAGACAGCTGTCTGCAAACCAAGGAGAGAGGCCTCACTAGAAATCAATTCTGCTGGCACCTTGATCTTGGACTTTGTCTCCGGAATGATGAGAAAACAAATATTTGTTTTCTAAAACTCCTAGTCTGTGGTGTTCTGTTACGGCAGCCTGAGCAAACTAATACAGCCTTGTAGCTCACTCCTTTCCCTTCCTTGCTCTAATGTGCCTAATGTGTAATATTTTGGTTTTAAAAATGTGTAGTGTACAGTACATGTTTATACAAATGGTTATACATATATGAATATATACATATGAATAAACATTTCTGTTAACTTTTTCATTCAGCACTTTTTTACAGTGAAAAATTTTTATATTTAGAATTAGCCAGCTGGACTCGGTTTAGATGCTCCCAATTTTGTTGGCAACATCCAAAGCATCACAGTCAGGAGCCAGGTGAGCTGAACATATGACTTCTCTCCATCAGGCCTGATCAGAGTGTTGACTTTGGCCACATCAATGTCATAGAGCTTCTTCGCACAGCCTGTTGACCTTGACATCCATAATGAACACAAGTGTATGGTTGTCTTCTAGCTTCTTCATGGCTGACTCAGTAGTCAGGGGGAACTTGATGATGGCGTAGTGGTCAAGCTTGGTGCTCCTGGGGGCGCTCTTGTTTGGGTTGCCTTGGGAGCACAGCATCTTGGGCCATTAGATAGTGGGTGATATGCGTGTCTTCTCTTTTTGTGGCTGTGGACACCTTTCAGCTTTGCTTTCTTTGCCTTCAAAGCCTTTGCTTTGGCTTCAGCTTTGGGAGGGACAGGGGTTTTCTTCTTCACTTTCGGCGCCATCTTAGAGAAAAGCCATTCAGCACTACTTTTTAAGGTCCATGTTGCCATGTGTATATCTTACCCTTACTTCAACCTAATTTATATTACTGTTCCCTTCATGTAACCTTGGGAAAAATCACCTCTCTGGGCCTTACTTTCCTCATCTATCAAATGGGATTGGAAGCTCCTGCCACACTGAACTCAAGGAAGTTGCGCGAGGTTCATATAATTATAGAGACATAGTGATTAAGAGCTGTGTCATCTTACTAGCTGTGTGACCTTAGGCATCTTACTTTACCCCTGCGACTTAGTTTATCTGTTAAATGGCACCATTAATAATTCTACCTCATAGAGCCATGATGAGGATGATATGGTTTAATACATGTAAAGCTCTTAGTACAGTGCCTCGTAGATGAGCTTCTACAGAATGCTAATTATTGCTATTACATGAGCTGAGGGGTGGGACAGTGCCACCAGCTCAAATCTAGTGACTGTTCTTGTAAATTAGTTGCTGAGAACCCAAACATAGTGAATCAGTCAGGGTTGTGACCCTCTGGGGAGACAGAGACAGCCACAAGTGTGACAGCATTGGTGCTAAAATAGTAGTGTAAGAAGGGATAAACGAGTCCTTTGAGAAGCCAAGGAAAGGAAAAATATCCCTCCCCCCTCCACCACAACCCTTCCTCCTACTCATCAGGCTGAGCAGCCGTACTATCTTAGTTAAAACTCTGAACTCCTCCCTCCCTCTCTCTCCACAAAATATATTTCCAGGTCCTTCCTATCAATGAGAAAAATTTGTCCCCTTCTCTCTATATCCTCCACCCCTTTGCCCCTGCCCTGAGTTCAAATTCTGATCAGCTCTTCCCTGAGTTATTCAAAGACTTTAAGAAAATATCATGTATAGTCATTTATTATATAATCAATATATATTCTTATAGAAAAATTAGAAAATGCCAATGGATTAGAATTTACATCTAATATCACTACCATGCTATAACCCTATTTTGATTTTTATCTTTCTAGATTTTCTATTCCCATACATATTAATAAATACATATTTACAAAACTAGGATATTATAACGTTGGAGACCTGTTTTTGTCACTTTATATGTTCTCTACTACATCTATAATAATACACATCTACATTATTATTTTTATAGACACTGAGGGTTTAGGTTAATTCCCATCCTTCACGGTGATGAACAGTGCTGAGGTGGAATGAACAAACATGTTTGTGGTGCTATTGTGCACTTGTCCAACCATTTCCTTGGGCCTAATTTATACAAAGGGAATTACTGAGTCAAAAAAGTTACATCTGTAAGGCATTTGTGCATATTAACAAATTACTCTGCAGAAAAGGCTGTGGACTAGTCTTTGTGTTAAGTGTAGAGATGACATAAATTAATAACATAATATTCCATTTACATGCTTATTAATGCCAACAAGTCATGCCTAGTCATTCATGTGATAAAATCTGAGGCTTGTTTGGAGAAAGGAAGTTCCCACCATGAGCTCTCCATGGAGCAATATACGGTTGACAGCAGTTTTTCCATTTAATAATCATCTGGATTAGTTCCTTTTCATCTTGCCATGTCTTCATAGCTACCTATGGCCCCACCAGGCGTTCCTGGAGGAGTTTCTGTATCTTTATATCTGAGTTTAGGTTCAGACTTAATAACTCCGGGTTTTATCTTCTCAAAGTCAAGGCTAGTTCTGCAAGTTGAGTATGGCGTGTGGGCTGGCCAGCTTTTGGGAGAAGGTTCCTCCAAGAGGGGCTGGTTCTTTGCAATTTGATATCCTCTTACCTGTTTCCTAGCACAGGTGCCTGGCACATGTAGGACCTCCAGGAAATATTTGTGGCAAATGAATAAACTTACCATTACTATCTTGAGCTGCCACTGCTTTCCTATCATGTAAATTCATGACATATTAAAACAGGACTATTTCTCTATTTTCCTCTTTGAGGATAGGTCTTAATCATCTTTGAATCTGAAGTTTCTAGTACATAGTAGGCTTTCATTTAGTGTGTGGGCCACTGTTCATTTCGTTCTCTCTGTCTGGAGTTCTTCATTCAGCCCCTTCAGCCAGGCTCCGGAATTTGAAATCTTAGCTGTCCTTGAAGTATCAGCTCAAAAATGTCACATCTTTCTTGGTGACCACAGCCAAAAGAGTAATAGAGCTGATATTTTTTTGAAGTGTTTTACACATATTAATCTTCAACCATTCAAATTAGGTATTATCATTCCCATTTTATACTTCAGGAGACAAAATAACTTCCCCAAGGTCAAACAGTAGTAATTGACAAGGCCAGGAATCAAACTCTGCATGAATGACCTTAAAGATGTGTCCATAGCCACTAAACTCTACAGAAGGTATCTCTCTCTGCACTACATGCCTATCATATCTTGTTCATCAGGTCAGTATAGGATATGTCACATCATCTGCACATTTCTGTATTCTTCTGGGCTGAGAGATCCCTGAGGAGTTTCTTTGTATTTCCAACCTAACAGTGTCTAGGTTGGTGATCCATAAGTATGTATTGATTTGTGGTCTAACATCATGCATCCCAGGCACACAGAATCAAGCAGACTTATTCCCACAGATTAGAACTCTTCCTATGAGCACATATAACTCTCTCAATGCCCTTACAGTTCTTTATTTTTTATGATTTGTGTGCTTGCCCCTTCAAACTGGTAGCACTCCAAGGACAAATCTTACAAGATTTTCATCTCTTTATCCCAAATTCTTGGATTAGCACTAGGACGCTAATAAATGTGAATATACAAACCTCAATTACCCCTCCCCATCATCAGATGGGCTGAAGACCCTTCCAGGCACTCCTCCTCCCTAAAGGCAAGCTTGGCCAACGTACAGATACTGGAGATTATAGAGACCATGCCCTTGGCTGGAACACAGCCCCAGCCAGAGCCCCACCAAACTGGGAAACAGGGTTTAATGTTTCAGCCTCTCCCTGGCCTGTGTAGGACTGTCTACCTGTCCCTAATCTCTCTATGGCCTGTTTGTCTCTTTGTCTCTGTCTGTTTCATAGTCTTTGTTCCTCTGCCTCTGGATCTGTTTCTCTCCAGACTCCTGGCCTTTTCTTACAGCTCCTCTGACTCTTCAATGCTTTATCTCTTACCTGTCTCTACAACTCTTTGTCTCTGGCGGCCAATCTTTTGCTCCTGTATTTTTGGTCTGCCGCTGTCTCACTGTCTCTGAGTTTGCGTCTTCTCCGACTCAAGGCTTAGGTTACAACTTGGTGAGTCACTGCCTCTGGGTCTCGGTTCCGCGCCCCAGATCTGATTCCATCTCCCCATCTTCCCCCAGACGCCTACCTAGAAACATCCACCTCCAGCCACTGTTCCTGCCTCAGCCTTTCCCCCGCAGCCCCCGCCGCCCCCGCCCAAGACCAGCCCCCACCTCTCGGCCTCTCGGACCTGCCCCGCTTTGTTTCCTGCGTCTCGGCGCCCCGCCCCGCCCCGTCTGGGGTCTCCGCCGCTCTCTGCCGCCCTTTGTCTGCCTGGGTCTTTCCCCCCACCCCTTTCCCTGGGTCTGTCTTCGGCTCTCTTTGTCTCTCCTGGCCCGGGTGGTTGGCGCTATCAGCCAACCCCGCCGGTCGGCGCAGGTGGCTGGACACAGCCACAATTAGAAGGGGTCTTCGGCCCTCATCACCCAGCTCCAACCCAGGAGGCATACGGTTAATACCACCGAGTTCGGGCCACCGTCTTCGGCTTAGAGTAGCCCTCTCCGCGGCACGCGGCCGCTTGCCGGCCACCGAGCTCGGATCGACCCGGCGGCCCCAACAGGCGTGCAGCTCCTCCAAGGTCCTAGAGCGGCTCC